GTCGCTAAATGATGTCATTGCCTAATTTGCATAATTGGTCATGCTAATCTAATTGTAACCTATGTTGTTGGAGAGAGAAATAACATCGTGGAAGAGACATAAAGTGAGTAAAAAACGTCCTAAATGCATTAAGAGTTTATTTAGAACTACAAATTAAATTTCTTTTAGCAATTATTGTTTTTTTTTATGTCACAATTCCAACCCTGCTCCTTTACCCGGGCTTGGACCGGCAAAAGTGACCCGAAATAGGCACTCTGGTGGAGTTACTTTGTGTGTGTGTTTATAAGTAGTTTTAAACCTTGTGATCCACAAAACAGCATAAGAGTAAAAGAGTAAAAGAAGAACTGACTGCGTTACAGCACCCGCTGCTTGTTGAGAGTAAAAGCGATACGCGCTTTAACGGTTTTTTTTTTAGAAAAAAAGTCGCTAAGGGGTCTGAAAACTAGCTAAATACAGTGACAAAGTCGCTAAGTTGGCAACACTGCTTTGTACATGCAGTGCTGCCATCTTCTGTTTCAGTCCGTTATTACACTCTTAAATCCTACTACTTATTCCTGCGTCTTTTGGGATCTTACAAAGCTTCAAACGATGCGTCGACTATTAAATTAGTCGTCGACGATTTTGATAGTCGACGTAATCGTGACTAGTCGACTAATCGTGGCAGCCCTAGAAGACATTGAACGTTTGCATCACTTGTATTATAAGAACAATTACTAGCTGCTTTCCTGTACAACCATTTTCAACACAGAAAATGACTCCATGTTAGCCCCCATTACTTTCCATTATGAATGCTACCGACATGACAGAGATTTCTGGTTTTGGACATACAGGAGCACTTTTTTCTATAACGTGTTGTGTTCACAGAGAAGACAAGTACCAAACTGAGAGCCCCTTTAAAAGAAGGTGTTACTTTATCTCCTTAGAAGTGACACAATGGTCACTTATGCTGCCATCACACTTATAATGAGCTAGTGAGGTGCAATTAGCTCCCACATATTGTTCCACACCATGTTAAAATTTTAGAGTCTAAATACTCCAGGTCCGGGAAATAAAACTGCAGGGCTTCAGACAGAAATGTGCTGGTGTCTGTCACACTTACACACACACAGAAACAAAACAGCCCTCCTCAAACAAGTTGCCTCTATAAGTTGTATGTTAATTAAACTTTTGTCAGAGTATTAGCTTCTATTTTCCGACCCTGCGCCCTCCATTCAGCAGTCACGTCTTAAAATACATATACAAATACACGAGCAGACACACACAGACTTTCAAATGTATAGCCACCACATGTTTCAGTTACATGTTTCAGAACAAGATGACTAGGTGCCTGACAACCTCAGTGATGGAGGAGATGTGAGGGTGGGAGGAAAAAAAAACGTTACCCTATCGTGTTAGTTTTCTGTCAGGGAGTCCCTATTGACCTGTTAAACCTTTGTGACTGGAACAAATGCAAATGGCGCTGACTTGTTCACACAACATACTAAAGGCTCATTCAAATGAGGCCCCGGGCCACAATGAAGCAGTGGCCGAGCACTCTGTGGAGGCTGGGCAGCCCCCAGTCTGAGAGAGAGAGAGACAGACAGAGATTCATTTTGCCATTGCACAGTTCATTCCAGTTGTCTGGTAGAGAGCAGTCATCCACTCTGATTACTTCTCCTTCATGAACACAGACACACACACACTCACAAGATAAAATTACCTTACACCTCTCCTGTAATTCTGTGCTTACTAAATCACACTGTTACACTGCACTGAACTTTACCCTGTAATTACCTTGTCTGTAATACTTTGTAACTGGATGCCAGCGGACGTGAACTGCTCCTGTTATCAAGTATGACACCACTCATCCTTGATAATGACACACTGGTTAATACACTCTAGCTTTCGCAAAGATACTGACTGTGCCCCAATGACTAATCACTTTTTAAGTCTGTCCAGCCAGCACAGAATAGGAAATGAAGTTGTAAAGAAATGAATAGAGACTGGAAGAAAGTGGCAGAGCAATACAACTCAAAGGCTAAATAACAGATAAATTATATGAATAAACAGAAAAAAATTTACTCTATCAGTAACAGCAATAATGACTACAATCAAGTCTATCACAGTTCATGTCAAAAATGAAAGTATGAGTAAGATATTTACAGCCTCAGAAATGGAAAAGAGCCAGACAATCCAATTGAGGTTTTTCATAATAAGAGCATGAGCTGAGGTATTCAAACTGAGATACAATATTTGTATGAGTCAGTCCACAACTGGGTTAACTGGGTTATGAAAACAAAAATCTACAGTATGTAAACAACGTTAAAATGCTAAAAAGGAATGCAGCCAAAACACTGCGGGGAAGCCTAGGATTAAAAAATGATTTTTAAAAAAAGACCATGTCTCCGCGATTCCCCCTGGTCTGTACACATCTATTGTGTTTATTTCTTGTGCACAGTGTGTAAGAATGTTTAAAAAAACAAAAAACAAATTAGAAGCTCAGCTTCACTATAATGTTTTAAGAAGCAACTATTAAAAACAATTAAATTAAAATTGTTTTATGCGTAACACATAGCAACAAAATACCTCATTGTGATATTGGAGTATTAGCCTTTTAACAGAATACAACATGCTAG